AAATAAATAAAATCTTTAAAAAAAAAAAGTAATTCTTTAGAGATATTCAAAAAATGTTCTGAGCTGTGGTAGCACCATTAGAATTAGGGTATCCCAAAAGGTTACCACTTTGAAGAAAGTAATCCCCATTTAGCAGATTAGGATCTAGGATTTCTTTAAGGTAAGTCATATATTTTAATCACACTACGTGAAACAAAAATCCATAACAACTAAACCAATTGTTACCACTTGCGGAGTTCATAATAAAAAGACTTTATCTAAATATAATCAAGCCATTTATATGAAGTTTGATTGACATGTGAAGTTTGATAGCTGATCAAAACTTTTTTTCTCAGAGTTTATAGAAGCATAACAATTTTCAGACCACAAGAAGTTTGAATTTGACAATAAGCTTGGGAATTTCTCCCACTTCTAAATCATTCAAAAGCAACAAGGAGAATAAGAAACAGAAACACAAACTCCTTTGATGAAACTTAGAGGCATCCATACCCTTTTTTAGAAAGGTTATATGAAAAGATCAAGTGGGGGGGTGAGGAAATGCCAAGGGCAGACATTCATGGCTGAGAACTTCCCTTGACTTTTTGATACAAAATCTTGAGAAGCTTAGAATAGAAGAGTAAAGGAGAAATTATCAAGGAAAGCCATATTTGCTAGAAGTAGTTAGTGAGGTTGAGAGGGAGTGTCTGACTAGTCCTGTAGTGCTATTTTCTGATAGGGAAACATGAAGAAAAAGTGAACATATACAATTCTGTGCCTAAAGGAAAATTCTATTAGCTGAGAATGAGGATCTGGAATTCTCCAACACTCCAACCTCCTGAAAGCAGCTGGTTCAAGAATTCACTTCATTCAAAACTGAGTAATAATCAGTAAGGAATCTACACAAAGTCTATATTAAGATAGTCTAAGAAAAAAAGGATAAAACAAATAGCAAATACAGAAAAATCACCAGAAAAATGTTAAAGAAAGGATGAAAATACATGATGCCATCATTTAGATACATTTAAAAATAAATGAGCCAATCCTATCTTTAAAATAAGAGCACAAAGAGGGCAAGGAAAATAAGGTGAGCCAAAGAAGGAAAGGATATATAAACTTGAAGATCTCAAGAAGAGGAGGAAGAAAAAAATAAAATCATCACAGAAATGAAAGGTAAACTTGAAGTAGCACATATGAAGACAGACCAAAAAAAAAAAAAAAAAGATACAGTATGAGAAAAAAGGAGCCAAAAAGGAGAAATGGATGAAAAATTCAAATGGATTAGAGTAAAATGGTAGCTATAGAGACAGGCAAAGAAGATTCAGCAGGCATCTAACTGGTATCTTTAAAGAAGATAGCCCAAATAAAGGAACAGAAAAAATATTCCAAGATATAATTTAAGGAAATTATTCAGAAATAAATGAAGACTTGAATGTATGGATTTAAGAGTCATACTTTGTCCAGAAAAAATTCACGCAGATTCACCTACAGAATAAACAACAGCAAGTTACTGGATTTAAAAAATAAACAAAGAAAATTCGGGCATTCATTCAAAATCTCAGGTCAATAGTATAAGAAAAACAATCCAGCCTCAAACCTTTTCACATCAGCATTTCATTCTAGAAGCAGTGGAGTGATACTTACAAATACATTAAGAAAGTAAAGTCATATCTAAGAATTGTATAGCAAGTCAATATAAATATACAGAAAATAGTTTAGAATGTGAAATAACTGAGAGAACATAGTTCCCATGAGCTCTTTTTGAAGAAACTAAAGGAAGACAAACTTTAGCCTACAAAGAAAAATTATGGCCAAATATCAGTGGTGAGTTTTGACTCTGTGGAACTAAAATGAAAACAAATGTGCTTTATAATCCTGACCAGGTAGTGAAAGGGATCAGAACATGTCACCCCAATATTTACAGCACTTTGGCATGAGGATTACTTTGAGCTGAAGTCAATTAAGAAGCAGAAAACACAGAAAGAGCTCACTACCCTTCTCCTACCTGCCTAAAAGCGAGACATAAATTTCCCTTTATGAAGGTCTTCCCTCTCTCCTGTCCCATATCAGGAGGAATTAAAATAACCATCATCACTGGAGACAGAGAATTGGCACTGAGATGCATCTGCACAATTAAACCTTAATAAACTAACCCTAATCTTCCATTGGTTTTCTCATATATTACCCTCCCGCAATTTACTACTCCTGGGAACCCAAATCTCTTTTCCTTTGTCAATTGTCACTTCTCCCCAAATTTACTACTCTTTGATAAGATGGTATATAAGCTCCAAATTCTAACTAACCCCTTGAGTTACTCATCACTGAGTTCTCCTGTGTGTATGCACTTTGCGTGTGTAAATAAACTGTGTTTTTTTTCTCCCATTAACCTGTCTTTTGTCAGTTTAATTCACAGGCCCTAGCTACAGAACCTAATGGATAGAGAAAAGGTTTTTTTTTTCTCCTCCTCCCCCACAAGTTCTAATGATTTAACCAACAAAAGCTGAGAGAAGGGGGGAAATGATGGAAGATAAACACATTGATTTTCTCATATTTTAGAGCTGGAGGATCAAAAGATAAAGTCGCAACTTATAAATCAAGTAACAGAGATAGAAGTGTGTGTAAAGACATAAAGGTAAGCACCAAGACAAGTAATATAATCCATTTCAGGAGTGACTGCCAATTCTCTTCACGGGTTTTTTAGCTTGGCAAATAGCCACTAGGAATTACGACTTTATTTCCCAGCCTCCATTGCAGGTAAGTTGTGAAACTTTACAGAAGTTCCTTACAAGAAGGAGGCTTATCTTTCTTACCTATTACCTTCTAAATGTCTTTTGGAATGCATACATAAGAGCCAGAGCTCCAATAGCTTTCTTGGACCAGAGAGCACATTAGACTGAAAGCCAGTCATGACAGAATTATATGATAGAAGGGCCTTGGTCCCTGACATTGGTAGGTACCATACCAGCCCTGGAATGACCACTTCTTGACTTCTTGAATAGGTGAGAGAAATAAATTTTTGTGTTTTTTTTAAACATAAATTTTATGCTTTTTTTAACTACTTAGTGGGTGGTATTTGGTGGTTTTGTGTGGTTTGCACCAAACTTAATCCTAATTAATATGAACAATAGGAGGACTACTTTATAATGATACTGAGTACACAAATGAAGATCTGAATAAATGGAAAGGTATATTATGTTCTTGAAAAGGAAGACAGAACATTATAAAGAAGTCAATTTTACTTACGTTAATACGACCACAATAAAAATATCAACAAAATATTTTGCAAACTACACAAGCTGACTCTAAAGCTCAAATAGAAATACAAACAAGAAAGAATAACCAGAATATTATGTAAAATAAGTCTTAAAGTAAGGACATGTGTATATGTGGGTCTGTGTCCATATATTTTGTTTGACTTTTGTTCTAAATTATAATAATTAATGTGGTTCTATTACATATGGAAAGCCTAAAAATAAATCTAAGGAGATAAAGAAATTTACTAAGTGATAAAGGTGATATTTCAAATCAATTAAAAGATAATTATTCAACATATCCAGCTATATAATCATCTGGAAAAAAATAAATTTGGATCCCCACCCCACACTTTGCATCAAAATATATTCTACATGGGTCAAAGATTTTCATATAAAATGTGAAACCAAGAAAATGTGTGTAAAAAATTTCTTAAGTATTCTTATGTGGGGGAAGACCTTTCTAAACAGGATACAAAATCTAAAACCATAAAAATTTTGTGGAGTTTATACAAAAATCAGAAAGTTGGGGGAAAATTATTAAAAAGACACACAAGAAACAGAAAAAAAATTTTCAACTCATATCACAAAGGGCTGTGTTCTTAAAATAGTTCTTAAAAGAATTCTTAAAATAGTTCTTAAAAGAATTCTTAAAAGAATTCTTAATTTATAACAAAAAGCCCATCAAGAAAAGTAAATACATAGGATCTCAAACATATGGAACACTAAATAGAAGATGGTCAAGTTCATTTATTACAAATAATGTAAAATAAAACTACACTGTGATACCATATTCACCCATCTATTTGGCAAAGATAAGCTTTTGGTAACACACTGTTGGTACATTAGGGAGGAAATGGGGTCTCTCATACATTTACTGTAAGAATATAAACTGGCACAAGCTCAATCAAAATCAGGTTGGTAATAACTAAAAAATTAAAATGCCTAGATACCAGACAATTTCATAGATTTGCACATTTCAAATGCCATATATACAAGGTTACTTACTGCTGTGTTGCTTGTAATAGCTAAATATTGGCCATATCCTCTATTTCCACTGATAGAACACTGACATATTAAATATAACCATACAATGGGATATAATGTAACCATTAAAAAGGCTTTGACAATCAAGTGTGCCAAGCAATTTTGCAGAATTTGCTGCTTCCAAGAAAACTATACAAAACTGTACCCATTATTTGACATCACCATCCATTATAAATTCCTGGATCCTCATTCTTGTGGTCTTGGACACATCAGAAGTCTACAGTCAAAATGATCAACCAGATGGAAAGTAAAAAGCTACAACTTCTTCTGAGTTGGAATTTAGCATTCAAACGTCACATCTAATATCAAAATGGAAAAGATACTCTAAAGTAGTACTGATGAAACAATATAGCCTAAGAATCCATTGGAAAAATGGATTACCTAGAGAAATGTATCAGATTTCCATACTATGAGAGCATTATTTTCCTAATATTTCATATCTTTCACTGCTTTTCCAGCTCAAGGTATTTGAAGGTGTTCTTTGGAAACTCTGGCAACACTTGGCTTTTAATATCACAAAGAACTCTTTTTCCTCAACCAAAAAAAGGAGGACTTGGACTCTGATTTCTAAAGTCCTGTCCTACTACCATACTATTTTTCTCTCTCTACTGTTTCATCCTTGTAATATATCAGAACATAATTCTACTCACTACACACACACACACACACACACACACACACGGGTAATTACATACAGATAAAGAGATATATCTACTGAATGCTTACCTGATAACGTGTTGGCTGGTTGAGAATGCTGTTAAAACTGTGTGATTCAAAAACTCTTGAGTTAGACTGAGTGAAGAGGTTTAACTAGGAAAAAATACAATTAACCTAGTAAATTAGAATACATTCATTGGGAAACCAAAAATATAATCTACTATATATTCTCCTTGATAACATTTCCAAGGAACATTTTGTGGAAGTTGAATTTCATAAGTGATTTAATATATTTCCAACAGTAAAAATTAACGTGAGCAACATGCTCACACTTGTCAAGATGTTCACAAGGTGAATTGCAATAGAACTGAAAACCTATTTTAAAATCTGGCTCATACTAAACATAATTGTCCCTGGGGACTTGGATGTTTTATCAAAATGTATTCATGCCATCTAGAAGGCAAAGATGCCTAGAAGCAACTCTCTGCTCCTGAGCCTATATTCGTCTCCGACACTTGAACAAAAACACACTACAAGTTTGAATGGGTCATTCGATAATTTATAACCCTAAAATATGAGCCAGAATGACGTGTCTTCCTAGGTATCATGGCCTTATACTGATTCAGATTCACAACTTTGAAGAGAATAAGCTTGAAGAATTTTGGTTTTCTTTTCTCTTCTCACTCTCTTTTTAGGGTTTAACTTCAGAGTGGGGAGAAAGAGAAAGTAAGAAGAGCACACTGTTACTGGCTACTCTTTATGCATGTGAGCAGGGACCGCCTCTTACTCCTGCACAAGCTGCTACCGATTAGGTATGATTCGAAGGCAGGGCCCCCAGGCCAAAATGTATATTTACCCACCACCTGACTTCCCAGCGTCATAACTCGGGAATGGCTGGGATGCTAAGGGGAAGGAAGTGGCACAATCACGCCAAGAGAAAACCTTGGCAAATAAAATTAATTCTCCTCTTTGCCACTGGAGGTCAGTATCTGACTGTTGCCTGAGGTTAGTTTTACTACTGGTTAGTGCAAAAGATTTCTTGAGGCGACTTCCTCTCTTCTAAAAAAGAAAAACAGAGACATATAATTTCTCCAAATTTTTACTCAAGTCAGTACAGAGAGTATCTATTAATATTCATAGTATTAATAATATTAAAGAGACTTAAACATCTCCATGCACAATTTAAAAAATAAAATCGAAGTGATGGTTTTAAATCGGAACTGGGGAGACTGGGAAGCCAAGGCCCATGGCCTCTTGAGAGATCAGTGCTCAACTTCTTTTCTACTTCCAGCAACTTCTCTGAAAAAAAAAGCTATTCTTTCCGCCAATGGTGCAATACAGGCAGGAGAGGACACCCTAAACGAAGCACATCTGATCCCTTCACATTCCTTTGCGCCAGTTGCATTTCCTTTACAGAGGCCCAGGCAGCCACAAGCCACTGGAATGTGCTCTCTCTTGACCTGACTTACTTACACTCTCAGGAGTGAAGTCAGGGAAATCAGTTTTCTACAGAAAGAGAACTTTAAGTTGTGAAGAGCAAGAGCTGTGGGTTCCCATACTTGAGAGACTTCTGGTTTTAAATAATAAAGACTCAGTTAATAAATCCCCAGAGAAACAAAGTGCCTTCAAAACAAAGTCAATTTCAGTCGTGGCAGGAATTGCCCAGGATGGCAATTAAAGCGTGGTCCCTTTAAGAGATCAGCCGCCCTGCAAGGTGCTGAGTACAAGGCAGTCGTGTGCAGTAGAAAGAGCTAGACATCTGATGCTGGAAACCTTGGATTCCACACCTACCCCACAACTGGCTAGCTCCCTGACCTGTGTAAGTGCGCTACTTTAATGGCTTCGGTGGTCTTATTTACAAAATGGGAATAATAATAATACCTACCTCACAGTGTTGCATGAGGTTCAAATGTACAGCAAAGCACTTTGTAAACTGTGAATGAGGAAGGGCACTGATATTTGTTGAGGCTGGAACTGTACACCTCGTATCATCCTCACATTAACCCTACAAAATTTCCTCTCTTTCAGAGGAGACAACTAAGGCTCAGAGCGATGAAATGACTTATCCGTGCTACTTGCTAGGAAGCCAGAAGTGCCAAAATTCAAATCCGGGTCTAACACAGAGGCTCTCTTCCTTACCTTGTACTGCTTCTCACTGTGTACATATGAGCTACTATTTGAAATCATGGGATGGGATAGCCCAATCAGTGCCTCAAGAGACCACATCCAGGTAAAATTTTAAAAGGTTTAAAAGGCTTAAAGAATAAGATGCCGGGGTATTACAAATCTTAGAAATGCACATCTATTTTTTAAAGTGAGAAATTAAATTGCAGTAATCCAGTCTTTTTTCCCTAGCTTCAACTGAGAACAAGTACCTACCTCCGCTCAACAGGCCTGTACTTTATGGGGGTAACACTGCCACCTGGTGGGCTCCCAGGGTATTACAACTACAGGCCATATTCACAACTTAGGGGCAAAAATGCTATTTTAACTCCACACATTTGCTACTCTATGTCTTGCTCCCTGTTATCTGAGGTCCTGCTCATATCCTTCTGCCTCCTCTACCAATTCTATCTCTGAAAATTAAGTTCATTATTATAAACTACTATCATAAAACTCATCTTTGTTAAAATCAGAGTATGACTCAAACTAAAACCCAAGTATGACTTAAATGGGACAACTCTGGGACAAACCATTCTTGATTACATATAAAAATGGTACTTATGATTAATATTTGAGGATGCTCTTAGGTCTGTGTCAATTTTATGATAGTAAAGAAAAAAAAGATTACTTAGCCCAATCAAGAGTTTCTACAAATAAGAAGAATATGGTGCCGGTAAACCATACATATAGCCAAGAGAAAAATGTGAGGTTAAAACTATTTAACGACAGAATAACAGTTGAGAAGCATGGAACACACACACACACACAAAACCAGAGTATTTTCTCACAATAACATTTCTGTTTACTTTTAACAAGTTAAAAAGATGTTTTTGCTTTTAATCTGGTACTTTGCATGAAATTCTGACCAGAAGCAAGGTACAGACTAAGCGACTTCTTGAAACATTGTGAAGATACTAAGTATTAGTCTGTGAAAGACTATGGAATGGACAGTAACTTTCAACATCTTCTAAGTTCACACAAAAATTACTGAACAAACAACAAAGACAAGGAGAAAGACAGAACATTCATCTTCAGGTCTTGGTGAATTTTGGATACCTACCCTGGACTTGGAGTTACCCATTCCCATTTCTATATCCTTCTGTAGCCGGCTCCTCCTGCATTTAGAGAAGTTAATGATCCGCATGATGAAATAAACAAATGACTTCGGACTAGGAACTAGACTGAAGGGTGGAGGTAATGTTTTTCCATCATCAAAATAAGATAACCAAAGTTTTGAACGGGCAAACTTCCATTCTACATCACTGTCATCCTGTGTCACAAAAACAGAAAAGAAATAATGACTTATTTTGAGTAAAGGACAGGCGGGGCTAGGTAGGGAGACATAGGTGTGTGTGGTGGCGGGGCGCTATGGGATTAGGCTCACAGAAATTCCAAAAATGCAGAGGTGTAAGGACACCAGAGAGAAGGGAACAAACCAGACCACCCTGCCCCAGGTGTCAGAGGTGGAATCTTGTTGCAACAGCTACCTGTGATGAATAAAGAATTACTGGACCCTAAAAAGGAAGTAAGCCATTAAAGGTGTTGTCACTAATCCTTACTCAGTGGTGCTATCAGTAGAGATGTTAAAAGGATTTAACTGGTTCCCTGGTTAGCCTTCAATAAAAGACCAACCCTAAAAGCCCTCAGTGGCAACCCTGTCGGGAACCCCCTCACTCCTGAGAGCTTTTTCTGTAGCCTTGCTTAATAAAACTCTATCGCTTTTTTCACTCTCCTTCATCCACGAGATTCATTCTTCGACTCCGTGAGACAAGAAACCTCACTTCCTTACTTCGATTTTAAAAACCAAATATTCCAGTAGGATCATACAATGAACCTAAATTATCCTTTTGAAAGAGATAAGTGACTTGCATACATTTATCTGCATATAACCTCTATTGGCCTACATATATTCTTAGTACCGCTAAGAATGTTTTTATTTTTCTCTTCCATATGCCTCTGTCTCTACCCACTGAAATTTAACCAGAATGTCCTGTTCTCCAGCCAAAAACAAAGCAAAAATGCCAGAAAAATTCAAGGTCAAGGAAGGATGAAAAGATAATTCCACATATTCGACCACACTTCCCCACTCCTTACCTGCCCTCCCTCCTCATCTAGACCCACCCAAGGCAGGCTGTAGATAGACTATAACATACTTCAGAGCAAAAGAAAAAAGACAGTGCTCAGTTGAATTGAACTTCGGAGGTTATGTGTCTGCCATCTGTCCTCAAATGTCACATGAGGCCCTCAGTGGCCTATTCCTGTCTTATATGTCCTTTTGATGAAGGATAGTTGGAAGGCAGGCAGGCAGGGACAAGGGGCCCCCACCCTAAGAGGAAACCATGCTTAAAAAGATTTTACACCACCCTGGAAGGAGCCCTCCACCCTTTCCCATGTGATCAGTGACAAAAACCTGATTTGATGACAGGCACGGGGAGGGTTAATCAGATTAAAACAGCCTGTCAACAAGCCCATAAAAACCCCTAGACTTAGAAACTCTGGTGGCAACCCTCTTGGATCCCCTCCCTCCTTGGAAGCTTCATACTACCACTTTGCTATCACTCAATAAACTTTTGCTTTGTTTCCCACCACTCTGTCTGGTCCCACCACTCTGTCTGGTCTACCTCTTCATTCTTTCAAGCAGCGTGACCAAGAACCGTGGGCACCAACGAAGGAGAAAAAATCCTGCAACACTTTTATTCTCAGTCCTGGCCCATGGTGATGGAGAAAAGAAATGAAGAGGAGGGGGATCCAAAGGTGGGAGAAGTTGGCTTGCTTATCTCATACTGCCCAGAACTGCTATTACCACACTCAAACAGGTATTCAGGATCCCACAGTTTTCATTTCTGGGGGACCTAACTTCTGCTTTGAGAAACCTTTTTATGTGTTTCTAAAACACACACAGACTCAGTGCATTTAACAAACAGCAAAGCACTAAAGAGATACTGAACACTAACCTGGAGGACAAGGGAAAGCACACATATGATTATGAAGGAAGGTACCAAACCAAGCCCAATCCAAAACAAGAAATAGGATAACTTCAACAATACTAAAAATTCTGACTGGATATGGAACATCACCAGTGTTTGCCAGACATCTAGTAATTCCTCTACTGGGATTTTTCCGATGGTTGGCCGGCTAACTTAGGAGAGAATAATTTCCCTATAGCCAATACTTCTGGCCCCCCAAATTTCAAAACTGGAAATGTACTCTGAGAGGAGGCAGAGTGATGGTAAATTCAGGGGGACCCCTGCTGTGCTCCTAGAAGACACTAGAGGCTGGGGGCCTATCTACCCAGGAAGAAAATGTAGGGAAATGTCCTGACTCCCTCTGCTTGGGTATAAGCCTCTCTATTTAGATGACCTGGAAATCCACCATAGGGCACAGAAACAGATGTGTGTACTATTAGAGTGGGATGGCAAGAATAGACACCATGGATAGAAAGCAGGTTTACCTCAATCTCTTGATATGAGCTATTAATCATAGCAATTAACATGTTGAGTAAAACGACCACCATAGTTACATTGTATATTCCATAAAGAACGTATCCAATATTCTCTATGAATTTGTGATCGTATTTGAGCACAACGGAAGTGACTTCAGATAACCCAAATATCGACCAAAACAAAGTCTTGAAACTTTCTTCTACACTGTTGAAAGAATAAGGTACACAGTAAATAAACTGACAGTTTTCAGTATGAAAAAGTCAAAAGAGAAACAAGTTACGGTCTGAATTCTGTACAGAGGTAAAATGCCATCATTAAATATCATCATAATAAACCCCAGGAGTATAATTATTTTATCATAGTGTTTAATAGAAATCATTCTCTCAGGTTTTCAGGAGTTTGTGATTAAATAGTGCCAATGCCCAGCTTTTCTGGAAGTTATCATCAGGTGAAAATTCTCTCAACTCAGCAGAGGAAAGCTGAACGTCATGCCACGATACCCATTCCTTTCTCCTAGAAGGATGGAAATTTGGGGGTTGATTTTATCAGTGGTTTAGACATTTAAATCAGGTTTTCTGGAGTAGAACAAGGCCAGGATAAAAATTATATACTCACTTCAAAAAAAAGTATGTACAAACACATTCCCTGTACTGTGGCAGCAGGGAAGAATGAAAACCACCTAAATACCCATCAATGGCGGGGTGGGTAAATAATTCCGACATCTATATGATGGATGGTATGCGGCCACTGGGGCAATGAGACAGATCCATCTACATGTGTTTATATAAAATGATATCTGAGATCTATTCAGTAAAAAAATAAGACATAGCAAGAGTGAAATAGTCTATCATTTGACTAAAAAAGAGGGGTTTACAAATACTTATATTCTTGTTTAGGTATAAATTATCTCTGAAAGTATCCAAAAGAAACCATTGCCTCTGTGAACTAAGGAGAAATAAGAGACTGGGGTCCAGTGGTGAAGAAGGGGACAGATGCTTTTCACTGTAGATGCCACTCTGTGAATTTTTTGCCACAAGAATATATTCCCTACCTAAAAGTTGTACTTAACTGGAAATGAAAAGGAGGCAACAGATTGAAAGATTCCTGGTCTTTTCCTTTAATTTATATAACTTACTCCCTGAGTCTTCCATCAGAGCAATGAACACTTAGGCCCTTACCAGATTATTTACCTACTTTTATCCCCTCAATGGACTTTGCCGACTGAATTTGCCTGGTTTTGGCACATAACCAAGTTGTACTCACTGCTTTGTGAACCACAAAAATAATCCTTAAATTAAACAATTACACGTGTAGAATTCCATTACACAGAAGGTTCAAGTCAGTCCTTTTCCCAAAGAAACAGTTATGGTAACAGTGCTTTTTTAAAAAAAAATTTTGTAACAGATTCTAAATAACAATTCTATAGATTTACAGGTTTTAGTACTAGTTGGTTTATTCATTCCATCATTCAGCAAATATTGATGGAACACCTATTATGTTCTAGAAAGTGTGCTAGACCCTGAGGGTAGAAGGTTGAACAGAAAGGTTCCTACTTCTATGCAGTTACTCTCTATCACAAAAGATTTCATCGTGTGATGTTATAGAATACGTGGTAGCAGGAGACTAAGAAAAACTATAATCTCTTCATTCCTTGCCATTAATGTAACAGTATCCCCAAATTCTCTGACTCCTTTGTCTTGTTCTTTTGCAGACCTTCTCGCCTCTAACTTCAAGAATACAGATTCCTGAGAATCTGTACGTATGGGAAGAGGCAGACAGTGGAAAAGGGGAGGACACAGACAGTTCCTGAGCTCTTACTGTGTGCAAGAGGCTTTCTATCAATGACCTTAAATCATCCTCACAACAACCTGATTCCAACCTTATTGTGTTTATTTTAAAAAGAAGGAAACGAACACTGAGGACTGCTGAGTAACTTGACCAAAACCACAACCAGAAACCAGCAGAGACTGCATCCACATCCAGATCTGCCTGATTTTCCAGCCTATATTCTTTTCACCATATCAAGTTGCCACATCCTCACACGGAACAGTGAACACAATGGGTTGTATAAAATGAGTTCTCACAGAGTTCAAAGGGGTGGTGTTGTGTGTAGGATCTCTTTGTCCCTCCCCAAGTGGGTTCAAACAGATTTTTTATTTCATTACAATAAAGGGAGTTTCAGTTCTCTTTTACCCCTAAGACTTGCTCTATATAACTCTTTGGAAAAAATCATTTCAAAACAATTTAGATGCCTGAAAGGGCTTAATATTCTATTTTAGTCTGCAGGGAACTGAAGGTCTAGATTCTTTCCAGTCGTGGCACGACAGGGTACAAAGTGAGGCAGGGAGGGCTTACGATCTCCCTACCTGGAATGACTACAGTAAAAATGAGGGCCCACGTCTTGACCACTAGGCACCAATGATTGAGAGGATCTCACAACTGGATGTCTTCATGCTGAGGGAACTTCAAGGGACAGTGACTAAGGAAGTTTAATCAAGGAAGACTTCCCAGGCAAGGTGAGTCCCCAGTGCAGAAACCAGTGTCGCCACAGGAAGGAAGTGATTTTAGAGTTACAGTGAGCTGTACAACGTTTAGCTCTAATTTCTTCTTACTCACCTCCTGTACTGATTAATGATACATTAAAATAAAAGACAATGCTTCTTTTTTGAATAGTAATGGCTACAAAATGATGAAACTAAGTTTAATGTCATACATAATGTAAGGGACACCCAGTATTAAAAATTTGCTGCCCAATTCGCTCAAAATAGTCAGTTTCGTCTAGGATTTTTCAAATTCTGATTCCGTTTCGTGGTCAAACACTTACTAAGCTCAAAGAAACAAGCCTTTGGAGCAATGTAATCACACATAAGCATTGTTTTCAATGGATTTTTTCCCCTTAAAAACATCTTTATTAGAATTTCTGAATTTTTTGTGTGTTTGCTTCATCTAGATTTGTTAGCAATTCTCTTCATCGTACCTTTTTCATAAGATGTTTTACTTACGTGGTAAAAGCAGCATTTACTTTAGCTCCAAGGTAGTAAGAATACAGTATGAACATGCCAATCATAAAGGCAAGAAAGACCATAATAAAGAGGACCATGAACTTGAAAATGTCCTTCACAGTCCTTCCAAGAGAGATCTGCAAGGGGCCGAAGCTCTCATTTGCAGGAAGGATGTATGCGATCCGAGAGAAGCTGAGCACAACAGCTATAGCATAGAGGCCTTCAGATATGATCTGAGGGTCAGAAGGGAGCCATTTATCTCTGGCTAGAAAAAGAGAGAGAGAGAGAGATTAGAAATGGAACTTCCGGGCGCCTGGGTGGCTCAGTTGGTTGAGCGACTGCCTTCGGCTCAGGTCATGATCCTGGAGTCCCAGGATTGAGTCCGCATCGGGCTCCCTGCTCGGCAGGGAGTCTGCTTCTCCCTCTGACCCTCCTCCCTCTCATGCTCTCTGTCTCTCATTCTCCCTCTCTCAAATAAATAAATAAAATCTTAAAAAAAAAAAAAAAAAGAAAGAAATGGAACTTCCTAGTCATTGTTAGCCATGCAAAATAAATACCTTAAATAATATCTATTTTTTAGGTAGGTGGTTTTTATCTTGGTTGAAACTACTCTAGATTTAATTAACTGTCCAGGCACTGTTTTTCATGTTAAACCAGAAACATACGAATTCCACACTCACATGGAATCTTTTAATGGAGGAAACACTATTATAAAGATACTAAGCCTGCTTCACATTGAGTAGAAACAGAATCAAGTACAAAAGATAAAGAAAGAGGTTAAAACCCTTCATCAGAGACAGACTGTGTCCAGAATGACAAAACAACAGGCTTGACTAATTTATCCCCTCAGTTACTAGATTTATTGACCAACTGTTCTGTCATCCTGTAGGCTCAGTTGGCACAAAACTTCTTTTTCATATTTCATAGGGAAATTAGTTCATCTAACAGTTTGTGCAAGTAAAATGTCATATTATGAGAAGTAAGAATGTCAACTGAATCACACTGGTGCTGTCGGTGTGATATCTGAGCAGTATGACTTGTTCCTGGAAAATGTAAAATGCTACTGAGGTGCAAAAATTTGGGATATGGATTCTAAATGAGGACCCACCCCTTTCAAGATCACTTAGTAAGTTCACAGCAGACTACTGGATACTCATTTCCCTGGAAGGTCAATGAAATACTATGTGGCTAATTTTGTGCAAACTGAGTCACTGCCAGAAGAATGGATACATTGTAGACATTTGCAACAACACAAGTTAACATTTATTGAGTGTTCCTATAACTCTATGGATTTGATGTTATTATTATCTGCTCCTTAGAGATGCAGAAACCAAGACTTAAAAAGGCTAAATACTTGATCAAAATCATACACACAATAAGAAGTAAATCCTGAACTCACAAATTTCCCTCCAGATGACAATCATTAGATACACATTAATAAATTTAAATAAATAGGTTACTGAAATAGTCAGGATAGATATTATACAAAAATACAATTTAAGCTAATTCTTTAATTATAAATGGTAATCATTTACTCATTTGATCTGGTGTCCTTGGCATATAAAAATCTTTGCTTGCTGACAATAGGAGATAACGTGTTTAAAGTTCACAATGTGTGAAATGTACATTTTATATTTTTGAGCAAGCACCCAGTCTTCTTCAATGTTAACATGTCACTTGTACTTATCACAATGTAAGCCTTAATTACATTTATAAACAATTATTCTTCACAATCAGAACACATTTGAACTCTGTGCCTGAGTTTCCTTATCAGTAAAATAAGGGGTAGGTAATAAATTTCTAAAGTCCTTTCCAGATTTAAGATTGTGCAACTACATGAAAATCTGCTAATCCCACCTCCCCAATCTGGCCTCAAGGGAGGGGAGGCTCACATCGCTTACCACTGGTTTGTGCTGGGCAAGGAAGGAGTCAATATCCTTACACACTGGTTATCAGCTGGGGTCTCCCTGCTCTTCATGATACAGAGAAGTTAGGCATGAATTCCCTTCCACCTCGTGTTGAGGGGCAGGACATTCACCCCAGTATTTCTGCCTGTTCTCCAGAGCTTACATTGTCATGTCACTTTGGCTTCTAGTTCCTGCCTCTGTTGAGTTTTTGTTCACTTCACCTGCACAGCAGGTGGTCAATGGTCAGTTTATCTGCTCTGAACCACACTCTCAGGGATTCATCTTCCACCTCAATCAGTTTCTCAAGCTATTTTTTCCCCCTAATTAAGACAGTTTCATACCTTCACAATATATGAAAGTAATTATGTCGTTAGGCTCAAAGATAATTTTATCCTACCTTGCAACATCTTCTTTGTATAAATTTGAAAACTGAGACACAGAGAAGGAAATTAACTTGAACAAAGTCACACACAGCAAGGGAGAGTCATAGCCTCGACAGGAATCCAGTTTTGTACAGTTCCAAAGCTCATGCTCTCTCCTCTGTTCATATACATTCAACACACATCTCATATTAAACATATGGACACTTCCTTCCAAAATGTGGTTTCAGTACCTTTTCTGAGGACCTTTCATATGAGGAGCCTGTAGTTAATAACTTACCGTAAGTGAAATACTGGATCTCTGGTGGAAGTGTAACTTCACTGAGGTCGCTCTCTTGGACATAACTGTCCACATACTGTTGTGCTTTTGTCGCCTGAAGGAAAGCTAGGAATCTGGCCGTGAAAGCAGCAATGAAGATGGAGAGCATCCCAAAGTCCAGCACATTCCACAACTGCAAAATATACTCCCTAGGTCCTTCCAGCCAGAGCTCCTTACACTCAGACCACATCATTCCTGTCACACACGGAAGGTACAGATTACTTCTTACAGCTTAGACTGAGAAGATGTTACTTTGTCCCCCATCAGTCCCCATCTAGAAAAGGCTCCACAGATAAGGCACATCATACTAGGCACCACCAAGCACCAGCTCTTGTTCAGCTCCCTGAGGCCCTAGGCAGAGTTAAGTGGAGGAAAAATCTTCAACTAAGTCAGAATTAGAATTTGGAGAAACATAGTTCTACATTTGGCACCAGCAATGGTGCCATTTATGCAGAGGGGTGGGCAGGAAAGAGGGAAGGAAAATAAGCAAAGAAGACTCTTTAAGTCAAATGATTTTGCCCTATGAGACTTTTGGGGGGAGAGGAGAAAGTTCATCTTTGTGGATCCCAAAGGTCATCACACCATAGTAATTATTGATGAAATAAACCCCTAAATGAGAAACTTATTATAAACTCTTAACAAGATCAGTTTCCCAATCACACAGGAACACTTACGTCACTCCCCTACCTTCTCTCCTCTTTCTAGTTTCATGCCAGGAGGTGAGGAATAGCACTGGAAAAAGAAGGAACCCTTAAGCAGGGGCCCTAGGACACTGTGAAGAAATGGAAAGCAGAAAATGCCATTCTGGGAGAAGGGGGCCAAATATTCCAATTTAACAACTTGTCCTGACCATGTAAGGGGAAGATATTGTGGAATTTTAAAAAATGTCATAGCTCAAAATAAAATTTATAAAATAATTATTTGATGCAAGTTGAGTCCACAGGAGTGAATGAGGGTAATAACCAACCTATTAATTCAGGAACTGAGACGATACCAAAAACACTCTGGGTAAAACAGAGAGACTAGAATAAAGTGACCTGGATTAGTGATGGATAGATGAATGAGTTCCTACCTCCATTTTTTTCCCTCTCATGGCTTCAAGTTTTTAACTTTAACATAGCTATTCAAAATGGGCTCTTGTGAGCCAAGATATGAAAGCAACCTAAACATCCATTGGTTGATGGATGGATAAAGATGTGATATATATATCTTATCTTATGTGATATATATACACACACACACATACACACACACACACACACACACAAAGCACTGGAATATTACTTAGCCATAAAAACAAGTGAGATCTTAGATTTGTGACAACATGGATGGACTTAGAGGGTACATAGTAAGTGAAAGAAGTCAGAGAAAGAAATACCATATGATTTCACCTCCATGTAGAATCTAAAATTCAAAACAAATGAACAACAACAGACTCTTTGATGCAGAGAACAAAGTGGTGGCTGCAGAGGGGAGGTCAGTTGGGGGGGGCAGGTAGGAGAAAAAGGACATTAAGAGGTATACAAACTTCTAGTTAATAAAATAAATAAGTCATGGAGCTAAAAAGTACAGCGCAGGGAATATAGTCAATAATATCGTAATAACATTGCATGGAGACTACACTTATCATGGGGAGCACTGAGTAATATACAGACTTGTCAAATCACGATGTTGTACACCTGAAACTAATATAACTTTGCATGTCAACTACACTTTGCTAATAAAAATTTTAAAAAGCAAAAAAATGCACTATTGTAAGGTGAAGTAACAAGCATTCTGAAAATGGAAACTCTCGTAAAAAAACCTCTGAAATGAAAACAAAAAATGTTCTTTAATCATCAGTTAATGGCTACCCGTTTATTTCACAAGTATTTCAATGAATTTGATCATCTTGGTGAGTCATATTTTTTTAAATTTACATTTCTCAATAATTAAAGTTAGAAACGTGGTGTATTTATAACTAGGCTCTTGTTACTCATAAAAATTTTTATTTAGTGTTAAGGGATACCTTTCAGTATTATCAAGCTGCCAAATTATTCAATTATTTTGCTCTTCTGCTTATCTTACAATGATAATGTTGTCACCATATAACACATGATAACATTTTAGATAAAAAAGATAATCATTACATAGACACTATTTTTTGGTAGAAATTAGAATATTTAAAATAGTAAGCTCACCAAGAACCCAGACCATAATTAGCATCTCAGTCCACGTGAACTGAGTGGTTTTCACCCTGAAGATCTGCTTGGGATAGTCAATAACAGTGATATTGGGCAGCGTGGTGATGCCTTCAAATCTGTCTGAGGCGTTGAACACAAGCAGGCCCAGGAAGATGATGAAAGAAGCAGCATGTGCTACAAACTTCATAAAAGGGCTTCGTAGAATTTTTCCCAGCTGTAGGACAACAAACAAACAGACAAAGAAGAAGAAACTTTTACTTTGGAAAACTTGGCTTCCGCTTTTGAAAATGATTATACAGGATTAAAAAAAAAATAAATGAAACAGAAGACTTTCAAAATTCTGCTTCTGTTTGTGAAGAGCTATACATTATGAAAACTACTCCTTTTAGAGGATGCTTCCTCCAAGAATAATTTAAGAAGTCTTCAAACTTCATTGTTTCTAAATACCCAATTTGTCTTAGGGTCGACTGCATACACAGATGCCTTTCTGAAAATCACAAGGCATATGCTGGTTATTCGTATTTTTACATGAAATACTACGCAATCAACATCTAGGTTTTGAGAGTCTAGGAAGAGAAACTCCAAATCTGTAGTGTGTATTCTTTATTGCTTTATAACTGAAATGTTATGAGTTTGGAGACCCATTCATTTATAACTGAAGTGTTATGATGGGTTTGTAGGACCTAACAAGGACTCTGAAGGTTAAAAACCTTACTACTGCAGAAATAAATTTTCATTCTCACTTCTAAATATTCTGAAATCAAGCTGCACTTTGTATGCTGTGAAAAAAAAGGAAGAAGATACTAGAATCAAGCAAATATTTTATGTGTTATTACCTCAATAAGAAGAAGGAGATATACAATAAGTAAAACCTCTAAGTAGGTTAACTTAATTAAGTCAGCCCTGAGTTTGGAAAATCATATAAATAGTACCAAAGCATCTCTAGAGTTCAGTGCATAATTATTTTAAGGTAACTCCTTTAAAATTCCATGTGATATAATGTCCTTAAAAGCCCCATGTTCTAGTAGAAATGAAAAACAATTCTGCCTGTCCCAAGGGCCTCTGTAGCCCAAGAATTAGGTACATTTGGTAGATTTATCAAATAAGTTCTCTAGTCTACATACTCAGAACCAACTTTCAAGCTCAGTCTGTGACCTTAAAAAGTACCAAGGTTCACATTTGAGAGACTGCAACTTCAAACAAATGTTTTTGTATGTCCGGAACCTTAATTTGATGTCAACAAATAACCAAAGAATGTTAAGTATTTCTGGAGTTGAACATGAATGCAGACACACAAATGTCACATTTTCCATATTAGACATAGAAAAATAAACAACACATTTACACATCACTGTGCTGTTCTGCAGCTGCAAAGAGACACATTTGGGGGAGCTCATCTGTAGCACACAGTGATTTCTTGGGAGCTGCCAAGTCTGTTTCTCATCAAGGCTGATCTTTTAACTTTAAATAACATGAAAATAAAGCAGCATGCCTGTCTTAAAAATGAGATATATGTGGGGAGCTCTTGCTATGTACTTTTTGCCACAGGCTAGGTGGTATATGGCAGGTATAAATGTGGGCTCCAGAAATGACTCAATTCAGGGGTGCCTGAGTGGCTCAGTCGTTAAGCGTCTTGCCTTCGGCTCAGGTCATGATCTCAGGGTCCTGGGATTGAGCCCCGCATCGGGCTCCCTGCTCAGCGGGAAGCCTGCTTCTCCCTCTCCCACTCCCCCTGCTTGTGTTCCCTCTCTTGCTGTGTCTCTCTGTCAAATAAATAAATAAATACAATTAAAAAAAATGACTCAATTCCCTCCTTTAACCCTCTCCGCCAGACAGAGAGTTCACCACACACCATTTATAAGAGCTGCACTTTTATAAATGAAGAGTTAAAAGTAGTGGACTTCAATGTTTTAACTGATTAAGCTGTCCCCAAAGATGAACACTTAGAAATCTGACCTTTCCAAGTCATTTCCCTCAGAAAGGGAAATTATATGCATGGGAAGTGATTTTGGCTCATCACTTAGAGATTTTAGTCTTCAGGGTTTATATATTGGAAGAATCCTAAGGTACTTTCCCATGATACATAATAAAGGAACTTAGTTGAGTCATCAAAACTGATCACAATGACAAACTTTCTGCCTTCAGTTGCATGGGCAGCTCAACAATGAAGTGAGATGAATAGCCTCACATGTATATGAGAGCGGGCCTCACTCTGCCCGAAAGACGATTGAGCCAGAAAGCTGACAGATTTCCAGAATCGTTTGTAAGTGGCCTTGACTCATTTTTCCTGAAACTGCCTCTGATTTAAACGAAACCAGATTGTGGAATATAAAAACAGGATTAAAGGATCTCACAATGGCTTCTTCTCTCTGGTGGTGCCCTTTATTAACCTAATACACATTCTGTTAGCGTGACTAGTATTCCTTCCTATATCTTGTTCAGAGGATCTCTGAGGCACAATTAAATTGAGTCTATACTGGTAAAGTTGAGAGAGGGATGGAGGTAGTGAAAAAACGAGTCAAGCAAAATTAAAGAGATAAATAATCTAAAAAATCTGAAGCCCCCAAATCCAAATTCTACCTTTTTTAGAATCTTCTGAAGAAATAAAGGGCTGGGGAAACCTGGCATGCACTCTCTTGAATTCTTCAAATTAACTGTCGAACGACAAACCACTATTCGTGACCGTACTTAATACACTCAACCTCAGATTCTTGACAGGTTCCAACGAGTTGCCCTTCCAGTTCTCAGGTTCACTGTTTCTTGGTACCACTGCCGTAGGGTTGTTCTCCTCACACAGGCCAACTCAGTTGGCTCTCTGTTTATTTATTTATTTTTTAAAAAAAAATTTTTTTTTTTAAAGATTTTATTTATTTGCGAGAAAGAGAATGAGAGACAGAGAGCATGAGAGGGAGGAGGGTCAGAGGGAGAAGCAGACTCCCTGCTGAGCAGGGAGCCCGATGCGGGACTCGATCCCGGGACTCCAGGATCATGACCTGAGCCGAAGGCAGTCGCCCAACCAACTGAGCCACCCAGGCGCCCTGGCTCTCTGTTTATTAAGCTGTCAATAGAATCAGCAAAATTGCTACCTCATATTTACCCCAAAGATACAAATATAGTGATCCGAAGGGGTACGTGCACCCCAATGTTTATAGCAGCAATGTCCATAATAGCCAAACTATGGAAAGAGACAAGAGGTCCATCAACAGACGAATGGATAAAGAAGATGCGGTATATATATACAATGGAATATTATGCAGCCATCAAAAAAACCCCCATGAAATCTTGCCATTTGCAACGACGTGGATGGAACTAGAGGGTATTAGGCTAAGCAAAATAAGTCAATCAGAGAAAGACATGTATCATATGATCTCACTGATATGAGGAATTCTTAATCTCAGGAAACAAATTCAGGGTTGCTGGAGTGGTGGGGGGTGGAAGGGATGGGGTGGCTGGGTGATAGACATTGGGGAGGATATGTGCTATGGTGAGCACTGTGAATTGTGTAAGACTGATAAATCACAGACCTGTACCTCTGAAACAAATAATACATTATGTGTTAAAAAAAAAGAAAAATATAGTAGGAAGGGAAAAATGAAGGGAGGGGGAATCGGAGGAGGAGACGAACCATGAGAGACTATGGACTCTGAGAAACAAACTGAGGGTTCTAGAGGGGAGAGGCGTGGGGGGGATGGGTTAGCCTGGTGATGGGTATTAAAGAGGGCACGTATTGAATGGAGCACTGGGTGTTATACGCAAACAATGAATCATGGAACACTGCATCAAAAACTAATGATGTAATGTATGGTGATTAACATAATAAAATAAAATTAAAAAAAAAAAGTGCTACCTCACTCAGGCAGCTTTTCCTCTTGACTACCATGGGGATATTATCTTAAAAGCCTAATAAGTATTATATACACCTTCAAATGTGAACTACCCCACTAGTACCAGATCCTTTTTCATCCCTTATTTGAATTGATCCAGTCATTAAAAAAGTAGCTTTTGTGTTCTGGAGTCAATTACCATTCAGGATAAAACTGATAAGAGCCTTAAGGAGGGAGCTTTTCTTTTTTCATCCCCAAAGCACATGGTACACCAACCCCAGAGGAAATGGATGAGGAAAAACACGTACCCTGCTGCACGGTGCAATCCAGTAACCGATGGCGAGAAACGGAAGGCCCAAGGCCACAACCAGCACAACCAGACACTTGATAGCTATGGTCTGTTCCCGCAGGCCTGAGAGGTTCTCATACCAGATTGTCAAGAGCTGCTGCTGACAGTTGGGGTGAGCCACAAACTGTCGGCAGAAAGAGACGAAGGTTACTACTGTGCCATTAGGGACACTTCAACTACTGAATGCACGTGTATCCTTAGGATATTAATGTGTACTTTTCTGTAATACAGGCACTAGAAGTTTCTGGTAATATTTTCCTTTACCTTCCCTCCATTTCCCAAAATTGCTTCAGAACTAGTAGAATTAAAGTTGGCAACAAGAGGGTAAAATTGATGTTGTCCTTAATTACAGTTCTTTCTGATTGAAATTCTCCGTAATTCACAAATTCCTCTCCAGAATCTAGGTGACATATGCTTTCCTTTGTGAAAATGTGTCCCATCCTGCTGTCTGCCCGCTTACTTGCTTTTGGTCCAAAATGGAAAAGAATAGTCATTTGGTTTATTGTAGACTACAGCTTAAAGAAAAATGCGTCAAGTTTCAGAAGCAATTCCTAAAATGCTACACGTATGAAAAATATATACACGACATGCCCTATGTATATGTATGTACTACCACTGCAAATCTGCAAAGATCTGCAAAAAGCCAATGAAACTGGCAAGAATTATGCCTGGTCCACACTTGCACTGCCTCCAGGGACTGGCATCAAATGTCCCTGCCTTCCCATTTCAGTAATCTGTCCTTTTTGTTGCTGTTTCTCTCACAGGTCAAAAACCACAAACATGTATCTCCAACAGTTCTTTTGTAACGACAGTTCTAACCAGGAAAAACTGAGCAAATTATATTTACTTCAGCCCTGCCATTTTATTTTGCCATCTGGTTTCACTAAGTCATCTGCCGGCATCTATTCAGAGGGACTGGTATTTCACTAAAGGCCTGTCCTTATTCAGGTAGCAGAATATATCTGTAGTCAGGCTCATGTGAAAAGGCCCCTACATCAACAGGTGCCCATTTGTGACTGGATATGCCTATCTTTGAATGACCAGGTACACTTTGCCCAAGCTTAGAAATTATTCAGGGTCATTCACAAATCAACTATGAGTACCAACATATTTTTTTAAAGTGTATTTAGCAACACAAAAATCAAGGTATCACTATCTTCTAAAAAACAAAATAAAAAAATAACAATGAACCCGTTAGGAAGTACTCGTGAAATGTTTTTTTCAAACTCTTAGAGGCAAGGAAAACAGCCACAGTCTCCACCCATGAAGGGTTCATCTTTAATCAAATTCTAGTTAATGATCCTAATGATTGTTAGCAACTCTAGGCAATTCCTCAAGTTATCTGGCTATTTATTAATTACACGCCTACAAGGAAATGAACAGGTTTCTACTCACTGGTGTGTCGTTTCTCATTAGCTCTTCTAATTAAAAAATAATAATAAAATTAAAAAATAAAACCTCACCCCCCAAGGTAGGCAGTAGAGACACAATTTCTCCCAAGTCCCTACTTTTGCCCCTGTGTGTACCTGCCCTCTGAGAAGTCCGTTGATAGCCACTCTGGTGACGGGTGTGCCCCCTGGGCACAAGGGGGTCTTGTCCTGGTAGACGTGGTAAGGATGAGTTTACAAATAATAGATCTGAAGTACTTAACTGAATTTATTTCAATAATACAGACTGGGAGGATTTGGGAGATTTAAAGTACTACAAAGAAGATGCTATCTTTTCTCACTTAACGAGTTCAGTGTGAAAAAGCATATTTTATAAGTGTCTTTCAATTCAATTCTAAAAATCCCAGGTCCTAGAGCTCACTTACTGGTCACTGCTAGCAGCTAGGTCTATATTAGATCTCCTTTCCAGATTCAAGATCCGGTCACTCCTCCAGTTTTCGATCAATACAGCCATTATTTGAACCCATGATAAAATACGATCAAGGCTGAAAGCCCTGGGGTCTTGGTGACAACTTTCTAGGTAGGGTTCTTGTTGATAACTTTGCCAAACTTCCACTTCTGCCTCTATACCTTAGTGGATCATCTCCTTCCTGCTTTATCCCTCCTTCTGTGTTAAAAATCCTCATCCCCTCGGAGTTCCTAAATGACATTTATTCATTTATTCATTCACTCTTCAAAATGTAAGCTCTTCCTGTGAGTCAGGCACTGTGTTAGGTATTTGGTAGAATAAAGTGAAAATGGAAGCATCAGTATGCATTAAGTGATAAGCAGGTCCTGTTCTGGGGCACGCTCTCAATAAATGTGAAAGAAAAAATGGAGGGGCACCTGGGTGGCTCAGTGGGTTAAACGTCCAACTCTTGATTTAGGCTCAGGTCATGATATCGGGGTCGTCATGGGATCCAGCCCCACATTGGGCTCCACGCTCAGCGGTAAGTCTGCTTGAGATTATCTCTCTCCCTCTGCCCCTTCCCCACCTCCAGGCTTGCTCACTCACTCACATTCTCTTCCTCAAATAAATAAATAATTCTTTAAAAAAAATGGAGACAGTCTCCTTATGCTTGCCAAGATAAATAATCAACATTTACAATAGTACTAGTTTGAATGTTGGTCTGAATGTCCTGCTGTTTGGAGGGTCTGCATTGTGAGACGTTGGACAGATGAAAATAAAAAGCCATCCTGTGACTCCAACTAGGCTCAACTGAGGATGGGGAATAGTGCATTCAGAGAAATCTACAGGTGGAATAGATAATGTCCTCGAATCAGATTACCACTTGGGAAGTCAACATGCACTTTTTTATAGGCCAAGGTTTTCTACAAGACAGAAAATCCCCATAAAGTTCAGAGACAGGTAGACATGGGTCCATATGGAATTGTTGGATAAATTTCGCTTTTGTGAGTGTCCAGCCTTTCTTTCTTAGGTTTTAAACTCTTGAGGACAGAAATATTAATGTTGCAGTATGGCTCCCTCTTCTTGCTCCTCCTCTTCCAGATCATCTTCAAACTTAAATATGTGCTTTATGGCATTAGTTACATTGTATATAGGTTACACAGCCCTTAAAGACTTGATGGAAATCAGTGCTTTCCATATGGCATTATATAATAATCAATCTTCGACCCATTGTAACTTGTACAATACAGTGCAAACACTTAATATATGTTAAATATTAGCCCAAATTGTGGTGTTTGCATCTTACTTGTTACACTTTAAAATTCGGCTTCACATCGATATTTCCCATACTGTTAATTCTACTCTCTTCTTAATTGAGATAGTAAGACACCAGCGTATGGTATCTGTTCATCCCTTCCAATTCACAGGAAGAAAACACAAATAGATATTTTCCTCCAATAATTTAAAATCCTAATGCAAGCACACAAGGAACATTAAAAAATAAAATAAAATCAATACAATAGTAACAAGTGAGGGGGAAAAGTTAATCCCTCTGGGAGATGAGTTTTGTTCTTTTCAAGGACTTCAAAATAGGGCGGTGACCTTCATGTCTTAAAATTGTTTACTACTTCCTATGCTGCCACACCAGTCATAGCCAGTTGGATAAATTTGTATGCTGCATCCTAACTTCAGTGGACCAGCAAATTGAAATCATTACAAAAATAATGCCCTTAATTGAGGTTTTCTGATTTAAAAGGAGAATCCCTGACCCACAAGAAAGTCTCAACCTTACAATGGAACAAAACTACCATAGCATTGAGAACATTTTTTTTTCCTGCCAAATGACTAACAGATTGTAAACGGAACCACTGATCAGGACAGGTTAACGGAAAACAATGAGATAATTTTCAACTTAAAAAAAATTCACGTTACACCGTCTTATTATCAAATCAGCCCTTACAAGAACTATCTGCACGGGACTACTGTTGTACAAAAACATGGTAGGAACACTCTGTTTTTGTTTTGTTTTGTTTTGTTTTAAAGATATTATTTATTTGACAGAGACACAGGGAGAGAGGGAACACAAGCAGGGGGAGTGGGAGAGGGAGAAGCAGGCTTCCCGCTGAGCAGGAAGCCCGATGCAGGGCTCAATCCCAGGACCCTGGGATCATGACTGAGCCACCCAGGCGCCCCTGTGTTTGTTTTTAATGACATGGTTGTAGGCACAGCTCATACCATTTAAAATACTGCTATGAATAAAAGCTACTTCATTCAACTTCTTTTTAAAGTTCTGAGTTGTGAAGTATAAACTGAAAATTTACATTGTATAAGTTTGCTGGATTTCAAACCCAGAGCGCAAAATGTTCTGTTCTTTCTTGGTGCCGGGCACGAACCTGGCCAAGAGGCTGCCCAATTGTAGGACTCAGGACCACACCGGCCAGCACGTGCACCCTGCCCAAGGTCTCTGCAGTATATTTACCACTCACATTGCATTGCTCAATTTTTGGAATTAGGGAAAGCACAATTTCTTCATACACAATGGGTAGTTTTATGTGCATATATTGCTGCATGTCTCTTTTCTAGATGATATTTCTATAGTTAAACCTAATCTCACCATGGAGGAAATAAGAGAACAAAGAGGAACAACCCAGGAAATTCTCTCCTCTTTCTCAATAGCCCAGTTTTCCACATTCGATGATTTATCAACTTCTAGTATCTTTTAACTTTGTCAAGGACTTTCTTAGAATAGACAGAGCTTACTTACTAGAAGCAGGTGAAGCTCTCATTATTTCTATGGGGAAGAAGGGATTGATGTTCATCCTCAAGTCGCAGAGAAGGCAGAGGTACAGGCAGAATTAAAACTCAGAGCTTTTGGGGGGAAGTAAATAATCGATTATTCTAACTGGAAAATAATTGATGTTTTTGCCTAAAACTTAATCTTCTTGTACTCTTTCAAAAAAATCAAATTTCATCTTTCACTCTATCCCATTCTCTTTTGTAGAAAAACATGGGTAACTCTGCAAACAGTAATAATATTTACTATCTTTCTAGTTTTATTATTTACCTTTGAGGCTCCTCAGAAATGATTCTGGGATGAATAATCTAAAACATCCACTCCCTGATAGAGAACGCATTATTGTTTGTTCCTCAGTAGGAGCATAAGATTGCCCATTACACCAACAGCATTGAGAATATTTTTTATTCTTTAAAAATTTGAGAGACAGGAAATGTTATTTGCATATTAGGATGCATTTATTTTAGTACTAGAGGGTTTGACAATTTTAAATATGTTAGCCATTTGAATTTTCTGTGAGTTGCCCATTCAAGCCCTTTGCTTATTTTTCTGCAGAGCTCTAGAAATTTTTCTTAAAAATTTGTTTGAGCTCTTTGGACATTAAGAATATCAATCTTTTGTATGTTAGAATTGAGAAATTATACCTTTCTCACATTGCCCTTTACCTTTTTGTTTATGATTTTTCTGTGTACAGAAGTTTTAAGTTGTATGTTGTCAGATTATTTACCTTTTTGCTTTGTTATTTCTTTGACTACTTTTGTATTGGAAAATTCTTTCTCACATAAACATTAAATTCACGTAGAGATTAGGGCACCTGGGTGGCTCCGTCAGTTGGGCATCTGACTCTTGATTTCGGCCCAGGTGATGATCTCAGGGTCATGAGATCAAGCCCCACATGCTGGGCGCGGAGCTTGCTTAGGGTTCTTTCTCCCTCTCTCTCTGACCCTCCCCCACGTGCGCACACTGGTGTGTGCTCTCTTAAAAAAAAAAAAATCATGTTCAGATCTCTCCTATTCAGGTCTTTCATATCTTCATTTTCTTGACTAATTGCCACTGAGCTCTGTAAGGCCTGAGTAGAACTCACGGTGTGATTCCTAGGGAAGACCTGAGCTCTGAGGACTGTGAGGCCAGACAGAAGCTAGGCATCTCATAAACAGAGCTGGGGGTACATCTTAGGCACGTGGCAGAAGAGACTTCCTGAGTCTCTTATGGGTAACAGCTTACCGTTACACAAAACTGGTTTCCTTGGTGGAATTATGAGTTGATTTGAATAAATATAAGTTTATTGTTATCAGGAGGAAAAAATTCCATAACATATATTTTGAAACCCCAATGCCTCGCATGTAGCTGTAGACTACCTCAGTGGCACTGGGGATAGGGTTCACGCATCACGCCAAGAAGTGGTTTCACTTCGGTACTAGAAATGAGATGAAGGAAAAAGGAAGCACCAGAAGGGATAGGGCATCTTTCCTCCTTGCTAGATGGAGACATGTGAATGTTGAGTGAAGAATGAAGGAAGTCTTTGGGTTTTTTTGGGCATGCTAGGATAAAGTTTTTATATACATTGAATGAAGCTTCCAAATCAAAGAGCATAAAACAAACAAACCCAGAAATACCTGCAGAGCCCTAAATCTCCTTTCAGTTTCAAATATATTATTTTGTTGTTTCCTGGTAGTTAGTTGACTGATAACAAATTTATTATTAATGACACCTCATACGTTGTAAGCTATACATCAATTTATTTAAAATTAACATGCCAGGAAGATATTCACGGTCTCAAGACAGTTTGGTCAACAGAAGCACATCTACAGATGAGCTGCCTCTGCTAATGACACTCTCAAAGTAACGATAACGAACTGGAGACAACTGAAATCAATTCACTCCTCTCAGGTGCTAAAGAAAAGAGATGTGTATTGCAAGATCTGTGAATAAATGTCCAGACAGATTTCTAAAAATGGTTTAATATTAATCTTATTCAAAATTATCTTTTCTCCTTTAATATAGCAACACCTCAACTAGCAAGAATGCTCTAGAGAAAGACAAATACCATATGATTTCACTCCTATGTGGAACTTAAGAAACAAAACAAACAAGCAAAGGGAAAAAAAGAGAGAGGGATAGGCAAACCAAGAAACAGACTCTGAACTATAGAGAACACACTGATGGTTACCAGGGGGGAGGAAGGGGGAAACAGAGGATGGGGATTAAGGAGGGCACTTGTGATGAGCACCGGGGGTTATATGGAAGTGTTGAATCACTATATTGTATGCCTGAAACTAACATTACACTGTATGTCAACTAACTGGAATTAAAAACTAAAAACTTAAGTAAAAAAAAGAATGCTGAGAGGAAGGCAGTTGAGCCAATTTATTTTTAAATGATAATTCCTTGAAAAGTTATTTTACATCAGTATTTACTAAGAATCTTCACATTTGCCTGTCTTACTAAGTTGAGGGGAGATCTGTGATTAATAGTTGGCTAAAACCTTGTGAATACTATATGTGAAAGTTCTCTAGATTGTGGCAGAATTTGTGTGTGTGGGGGGGTGCACGCGAGCACACGTGCACGCACACAAGGAGAGAAGAGGAAAGAGAGGAAGTTTCCCTCATGCTCACTTGCTAGGGTGTCTACACTTGCCTCCGTTCCACAGGCCAGGGGCATATGCGCAGGTCTCCGTTCTGGGCCTGGTTCTGAGGAAGGTTTCTGGAGGCACGACTTAGGTGTGCTTGTTCCCCCACCCCTCCTAATGATTCTGTGAGTCTCCTCAGATCCCTTACTAAATTCCTTTCTGCCTAAAATGGCTGTAGTCTATTACTGAGGACTGGAGCCAACACAATGAACGTGAAATCTGTGTTTGAGGACTACAAGCTGAACTTGTTTGAGAGTCATCATTTTGAGAATGAATTTTCATAATGTAGAAATGTTATCAGCTAGTACATGTTGAACAATCACCATGTACTAGACCTGTGCTAATTACTTTACATGTATTAGCTCTTATAATCTTATAAACAACTGTAAAAGCAGTTTGTGGTCCTTACTTCACTAACAGCAGATGGAGGCTTGGTCTGGTTGGGTGACTTGCCCGTGGCCACACAGGGAACACGTGGTTAACTCAGGACTTGAACCCCTGCAAGCTGGCTCCCCGCCCTCTTAAGCACCATGCAGGGAGGAGAGAAAATTCAGCTCTCCAGAGAGTAACTAGTTCATGAAACTAGATCTGTTCCTAAAAACAGCTTACTTCTTGGTGACTTATCATTTTCTCTTAGAATACAAAAAAATATCAGTTATCTAACATATAAACGCTGCTAGGTTGTAGTTAACAGATTTTTATTATAGTAAAACATCATAACTACAGTTTTCAAGAATTATTTAAAAGCCCCATACAAGCAGCAAATACATACACTTAACAGTTTATCTGCAATAAACAGAATAAAAAAGTAATCAAATTTTATTTCTGGTATCCACAGCTCTGTGACTTAGACATATTTAAGCTTGGCAAACCTCAGTTTCCTTTTTAGAGTAGAAATGTCATCATCTATTTTACCTATTTTATAGGTGAAATGGATAATCACATAGGCTTGTCACAAGGATTAATACGACAGTTTTAACAGTGATTTACAAAAATGTATACAAGTAACATTTTATTTTTAATTTCATTGTAATGAGCAGTTCACAAAGTTCTTTTGCATATCTTAATCCACTGAAATCGTATTCTCTGAGATAGATAAGAGATATTATCCTCCTTTTACATGAGGAAACTGAAGTTTGAAGAAGTTTTATGATTTATCCAAGGTCTCACAGCAGACAAGAAGTGGAAAGGATGGCAGAAGCTAGATATTGGACTCACAACTTTACCATATTTATCAATAACATCTTTATTACTTAAATAATTTTCCTGGGATTATGGCATAGTTGATATTACATGTTTATTCCAATATGGCGCTGGATAAAAGTGGGCCACTCACCTTTTTTACTTCATATTTAATAGCAAGCTTGACACGGCTCAGTGAAGCTTTATGCCTGTGTAGCTCTAGGGGCTCTGCGGATTCCAGATCTCCATTCAGAATAGCTTCTACTTCTTCTGAGTCTCGGCAAAGATCCAACACACCCACTACAAAGTCTTTGCATTGCATGGAGAGCTTCCTATAGTCATTCTAAAAACAAGAGGTTTAAAGTTTAACTCAAGGAGTTTGCTTTAATTCAATGGAAAGTGTTTAGGGTTTTTGTGAATTACAAAAAGGGGTCCCTTCTTCTGGGTAGAAGCTGCTGTTCCTACATGGATGCAAGGCTTGCTGAGTTAGACCCAGGCAGGATTTGCCCACACTCACAATCTCAGCCGGTACCTTCTGCAAACCGCCCACCCATAGGATACAGCTCTGAAAATGGTATGCACATTTGTTACTGGTTTGTATTAAGAGATGTTGGATAAATGCTAATGCTGACAGACCAAAAGGATCAAAAAGAGCGGCATCTCTCTTATATAAACAACAGTTTCCTTAAAGCCAAAACAAAACCATTTCTGTAGTGAAAATTGGTTTAAATGGTAATTTTTCTAAAGTGGCGATCTGACATAGAAGATTGACTATACATGAAAATAACTTGTTCAGTTTCTACTCTCCCTTGCCTTGTTGGAGACGTAGCTTCTCAAAGTGTAGTCCTATCGCCAGCAGCATCAACGTGTATTAGAAGTATGTTCTCAGACCCCATTTCAGTTGTTCCTATCTAGAAACTGAAGAGAGGGCTCAACAATCTATGTAAACACACGCTCCATGTGTTTGTGATACACATGTATGTTTGAGAATGACTGGTTTCTAGTGAATGTAAAGAAATGGACAGGTACCAACAGAGAGAGGAGGTATTTTTCCTTGTTTGTCTGAAGGTTATCATGTCCTGCAGAACTGGAAGGAGAGAAATGTCTGATTATATGTAATTGAATTCTCAGGGGTTGCAGAGTATCAATACCTGAGAGAAAATTTCCAGGCCAGTGGAACTAACACCTTGCTAAAAATAATCTGTGAATCTTTAATTTCATTAGCATATTTATATAGTGCCATGGACTGGGATAAGGAAGTCACTTGGCAACATTCCCTGTTACCTTCTGAATGGAGTTCTATTTCTAGCACTTTGGTTCCAGTTAAGGTATCAATGACCATCTGTTGGGAAAGTATCTCACTTTCAGAAACCCCAGTTCTACTTCTATGACTTTCACTAAAATTTTAGCCCATTAAGAAGGTTAACCGGGGGACTCCTGGGTGGCTCAGTTGGTTAAGCGTCTGCCTTCAGTCAGGTCATGATCCCAGGGTCCTGGGATCGAGGCAGCATCAGGCTCCCTGCTCAGTGGGGAGTCTGCTTCTCTCTTTCCCTCTGCCTGCCATTCTCCCTGCTTGTGCTCTCTCTCTGACAAATAAATAAATAAATAAATAAAAATAAATAAATAGTTAACCGATGATAGTCTAATTTGGCACACTTGAGGAAAATAGAGTTCCCCATTTCAATATGGCCCGAGATACTATACGTGTCTCAAGTAATAATTAGCACAGCAGAATTTCCAGGCTTCCAAAAATCCTACTTAAAAAAAAAAAAAGACATGAAGGATTTGAATTTTTTCCTTTAAATAAATAATTGATTTGATGGGCAAAAAATCACGTCACCAACTAAAATAAAGAAGAGAGACTGTTTAAAGGCTACACAGACTAGAAAAGTTTCCATTTCAGATATCAGAAATTCAGATAAGGAACAGTTACAGTTAATCTTTTTCCCCTCATAAGAGAATAGATAAAATGAATAAAAACTTCAGTCTTTGGTTTCCATTCAAGTTGGTACCATGCAACTGATAAAATTAATAAAATGTTCAGTCCCTGGTTTCTAGGCAGAGTGTCAGTTAAATATCCATCTGCTTCCACTCCTGAGAGACTAATGAAATATTTTATTATAGCATCCAGAAGTATTAAATTCATGTCTGTTTCCATATAAAGCTCTCCTTTTAATACAATTTTTTTAGATGAAATTTCCTCATGTTACTCCTCAGTTCAGACTGTTTTATAAGATTTGATGCAACACAGGATGACCATTTCTCCATTGATCAGAAAAAAGAGAGACTATTTCAATGTTTGAAGAAAACAGTAGCCACCTCTGCAGTAACACCTCAGTATAACTCATTGCTTCAAAAAAATCATAATCAGTAAATTGTCTTAAAGAAAGCTGTGTGGTTTGTTCACATCCACAGAAACATCAATCAAGAAACAAAAACTGGTAGTTATACAAGTTGCAAAAACAACACTTTGTCTTCATAACACTGTAAGCATTTCCTGCCGGAAGAATTCTGTTGCCTAAGTGCAGAAAATAATCAGTGCTGGAGGTAATGGCAATTTCTTTTATTGAGGGCATGGGATGTTGCTTTATCAACAGATACGGAGCTCCCAGGGAAAGATGGAGGGCCCCAGCTAAAGACAGCCTTTTCTCAGTTGCAAAAGGAACTACCTGAAGTCTGCATTGCACCATGAGGTGACTAGATTAGTTCTACCATGAGGTCCTGCCTAATGTTACTCAATGACTTGGACCATTTGTCTGGTTTGCATTTTCTAGTACTTTTCTCTTAATTTAGTTTTGCTTAATCATCTTCATCATGCCACTCTTCTAAAACCATGGCTCTCCACAAAGTTACCAGAAGGACCTGTGACCTTCTTTTTAGATGAAGGAACTCAAAAGCCCGAAGACCTGCTCAAGCCAAGGGAAGAACAAGGATGCCTGGTCCTCGTCACAACCTGTCTACAGGTTTTAGCACACTTATTTTAATGTTTGTGGTTTAATCATCATTCTAATCCCTTTTTATCTTTAAGAGAAAAGTTGGAATTCAACTCTAAGGAGGCTTGGTTCAGTCAGATCCTTTCCCTGATAACAAAAGAAGCAGGATAGTATAGTGGTTAAAAGCTTAGATCTTGCCATTTGCAACGAGGTGGATGGAACTAGAGGGTATTATGCTAAGCGAAATAAGTCAATCAGAGAAAGACATGTATCATATGATCTCACTGATATGAGGAATTCTTAATCTCAGGAAACAAACTGAGGGTTGCTGCAGTGGT